AAACTGACCATGTTAACCATTTTAAAGTACACAGTTCCATAGCATTTAATACATTCACTATGTTGTACAACCATCACCAAGAGCCATTTCCAGGACTTTTCATCTTTCCAAACAGAAACTCTGTACTCGTTGGACAACAACTCCCTGGTCCAGGTGCTACAGCTGCCATAAAACTACCACAGCCTGGGCAGCTTAAACAACAGAAATTTATTTTCCCATACTTCTAGAAAATAGAAGTCCAAGATCAAGGTGTTAGCAGGTTGGTTTCTTCTACAGTCTCACTCCTTGGCTTGTAGATGCCGTCTTCTCCCTGTGTCCTCATGTGGCCCTTCCTCTGTGGGCATCCAAATCTCCTCCTCTTATAAGGACACCAGTCATACTAGATTAAGGCCCAACCCAATGGCCTCATTTTACTGTAATTACCTACCTCCAAATATAGTCACTTTCTGAGGCACTGGGGGTTAGGACTTCAAGATATGAATTTCGGGGGAGGGACACAGTTCAACCCGTGACACTCCTCATTCCCCAATTCTGGGACTTTTGAGAAAGAAGAAAGCTCTATCTGCGGGTGCTGCTGAGCAGGTATGGTCTACCCCCGCAGCCACTGGCAGCCACCTTTCCAAGTAGAGATCAACACCAAGGAAAGACTATCTGAAAACGAGGCAGACAAGAGTTGAGAGAGAGTGAGCCCCTGAGCCCGGACATACCTAAAGCCAGTTCTACCTCAGGCCCTTCCATTCCCAGGGATGTGAGCTAATAAATTTCCTTTTTTGCTTTATTAATGTAGGATGGTCAGACCTTAATGAATGCTCTGATTCTCGTAATTCAAAGGTGGGTTAATGCAAAGGCCTCTTACCCCAGAGTGCCCGTGACTCCAGGACACGCAGGGTGGGACCACAAGGCAGCTATTTACGTGGCAGAGTCACGATTCAATTCCAGGCCTTGGGATGCTCCTGCGTCATGACTATTCACAGCATAGTGGAGGCTGGGGCTGTGCTGGCATCTCTCGCGGAGCAGGCTTCAGGGCCCACCTGGCCCACAGAGCTTCCTGCAGCGTTCTGTGATCGCTGCCCTAAGGTCGGCCTCTCCCCACAGACTGGGGGCTCCTGCCCTTCCAGCCAACACCCCCGGGCCTGCAGCAGTGCCAGTGACAGAGCTTCAGGACAAAGCCCGAGGAAGTCAGAGACCGAGGCTGTGCAGCAGGCCTGCCTTCCTTCCATCACAGGAGGGATGCAGCACTGTCCGTGTGAACACAGGATGGGAAACAGCCCAACCGTCCTGCGGAAGGACTGGCCAAGGACATTACAGGACAGCCCAACAGCCCGGCAGGGTTCCGTCACTGAACCAAAACAAGGCAGCACCTGCTCTCTGATACAGAGACTGACACGGACCATCTCAGAGAGAAACTGCAAACTGAAAAGCAGCAGCACACAGGAAACAATACACCACACCAATTGTGTGAACAAGGAGGAACTACTCGCTGATGTCTACGTAACTACCTCTGGAACCGGGCTGTCCAATACCAAAGCCACTCGCCACGATTTAAACTAAAATTAGTCAAAATAAACTAAAATTTAAAATCTCAGTTCCTCAGTCTCACCAGCCACATCTCAAGGGCTCGACAGTTACGTGCGGTCAGTAGAGGCCACAGTCCTGGACGGCGCAGGCCCAGAAGGTTCCGTCAGGCAGCACTGCTTTCAAGGGACACAGCAAACTGGAAAGGGGCCTTTGGAAAGAGGAGCAGGAGAACTGGGGCAGGGGCATCATTTTTCACTTATCTTTATGTACTTGAATTTTTTAGTCACATCATGCATTATTTCCTATTCAAAAATAAACACTTAAAAAATCTAAACACATTTTTTTAACATTTAAATACATAGGTAAAGTAAGAGAAGAGGGTCTTGGATACCTGAAGGACCAGGTAAGCCTCACTCACCTCGAGCACAGGGTTACCTGCTAGGGGAAAAGCAGGCGTCTTTCTTTGGCGGGGGGATGAGAAGGAGCAGCGACGGGTCGGGCCCGGGGCTCCCAGGTACGCCTGGGTTAACGCCGCCTCCGTGTTAAGTGCAGGTGTCTGCTTCGGAGTCCACCTGCCCCCGCATTCCTGTCCTCTCGGCAACCTTATAAGGTCCTCAGGGTGGTCATCGCTCCTGTTTTTATTTCCGAGGGCTGCTGCAGCAAACTTGTGCCTCAGCACAAACTCGGGAGCTTAAATTGATAGTTTATTCCCTCACAGTTCTGGCGGCCAGGAGTCCGAGGTGTTGGCGGGGCAGGCCCCTCCCAGAGACTCCCAGGGAGGACCTTCCATGCCTCTCTCTGCATTCCCTGGCTTGTAGACGCATCACACCCATCAGTGCCCATGTCACATGGCCCTCTGGTCTGTGTGTCTCTGCATCTCCAATTTCTCCCTCTTGCCTCTTATAAGAACAACACTCATTGGGTTTAGAACCTACCCTAAGTCTTGGACGGCCTATTCTACCTTGAGATCCTTAGCTTAATTGCACCTTCCCAGACCCAATTTCCATAGGTCACAGTCACAGGTACCGGGAGTTAGGACTCGGACATATCTTTTTGGAGGACACAATGCAACCCACCACATCATTTTATAGATGAGGGACACAAGGCTCAAGGGCCCTCAGTGCCTGCAGTGACAGAGCTGACTCAGGGCCCAGCCTCCTGCCACTGACTCCCACTGATTTGGGCATGAGAGAAGCACCATCTGCCAGCTTGAAGCCCTCCACCGTGAAGCCCATCACCACAAAGCCCCTACCACCTGGGCTCAGCCTCACAATGGGCGACACACCCATTAGAACCGCACCTTCTCTGGCCTTGCTTATCTGACTGCTGCAGGATAGGATCTGACAGAAGATTACAGTCTCCCCGGCGACCAGGCCCTGGCTATCTGTGGCTGTCTCAGATCAGGTGGGGATCCAAGCTCCAGAGGGTGGTCTGCATCTCCAGACTCCAAGTCTGTGGGCAGATTGGAGCTGGGAGTTCAGGCTTCTGGGGCCGGAGACAAAGGCCCCTGTCCTTTTCATGGTCAGGGCGCAGGTGCCAGCCCACAGGGGTTTTGCGCTGGTGAGGGCTCTGGTCTAAAGGACTCAAGTGAGTGCTCAGACTCAAGACGACAGGAGACAAAGTCCAGGCGTGGACACTGGTGTGCAGAGGGCCTGGCTGAGGCCAGCGTGCTGGGCCGCACTCATGGCAGCAGGGCCTCCCAGGGAGCAGGGGAGTTCACCGTGCTCTCCTCTCAGCAGGACTGGAGATTTGGACTAGCCCTTCAGGCATGGTCTTCCTGAGACCCTCTTGGAACCTCTCTCTAGGGTTCAGGACCCCCAATCCCCTCTTCCCAAGGGAAGGCAGGACACAGGACTGCCTCTGGGTCCCTGGCTTTAACCTGTACTTTCTCCATGACCTCAGAAAGGCACCCACAGAGCCCACTCCCAGACTGTTAGCAGGTACTGATAAAGAGCCTCACGGGTAGTAAGGGGCAGACCCTCACTAGGATGACTCAGTTCCCATGTATTCGGGAGCGCCATGCCAGCTCCCCGCCTCCTCCCTCTCTCGCTCTATCATCTGGCAAGAAACTCATTTCACACTGCTATCCGCATCAAACCTACAAATACAAACAGCTGAAATTTCACTTCAGCATTCCTTATTCCAGTCTATGCTGGTTCACAACGTCAAAACGCTAGCTACAACCCACTAAACTGATTTCATATCTCCCCAATGGGTTGTGACTCCCAGTTTAAAAAACACTGATCCACATAACTCACATGGATATGCATCCAAATAACACTCAGAAAGAAAGAGGGAAAAAAAGAAGGACCTTTCCCATTTTACACATTTTGCAGATCATCCAAAAATCCACTGGTGGATCTGAAAATTTTCCCCTCATTTAATTGCAATTTCTGACCTTCCTGATCTGCAAATGGAGCCATTACTTGTCATGTCCTTTTTCCTTTTATTAAAACCTCAGTGGCCCTAAAAAGTCTGGTCGAGCTCAACCATAGAATCCTCTCCCACTGGGCCCTCAGAGACTGAATTTTCACACCAGGGATCCACCTTTGCAGAAATCTCAAGGCATCTCCCAGCCCTGGGATGTCCATGATCAGGGAGTTTGGTTTCTGGACCTGCAGCAGTGGTCTGGGAAATGCCGGACGGCTTGGCCAGTGGAAGGAATGATGCTAAGGACAAGAGACACTGTGTTCGGCTCCCAAGTTCTCTGAACCAATAACACGTTATTTCATTTTGCTGTCACCTTTCCCTGCATGTCGGGAAGGCTGAGATACATTGTGATTTTCCACTCATTCACTGGTATTGGATACCATCCTGTAAGAGGATCATTCTAACCCTGGAAACACCGGGAGTAGAGACCACACACCGAAATTCTCAATCATAGTCTGTACAAAGCTCCCCTGAGGACAACCGGAAGACCTGCTATGAATCTGGATTTGAGCCACATGGATTAGGAATCAACAAATCCTGGTTTTATTCACAGCCATCCTGGTCTACACCGGCAAAAGCTAAGAGAGACATGATAATTTGAATAATTCAGACCAAGTTTTCTGTTCCCTTCCTTTGCCTTCACCAAAAGAAATGAAAACAAAAAGCTTACGTTCGCCAGATTATTTATCTACTTTCCACACGTCCAGCACAGAGAGCTCTCCTGCAATGTTGATCCCGTGAGCTCGTGAGTCCCATCGCTGCACACCTGTGGGACAGCCGCTCCTTTCCTGCCAGCTAATCCTTTATTCCAAGTCATCTCTAATGGAGTCTTTGTTCCACCACCAACCAAACCACATTATTTCATTTTACTGGAAACTCTGACGGAGAGCCTGCCAGGGAGAAAGGCCCAGGACAGTCCACAAGGCACAAGAGCCTGAGCCCCAGCCGGTCCTCTGGCCCGTGAGTGTTCTTGGCAATTTTGAGCAAACAGCCGAGAGAAGGGCCAGACCTAAGGAAGTCTGAAGTCAGCAAAGCATGAAACCTTCACTTACCTGGGGGGCAGACACATTCGGATGGCGCTTCCCGAACAGTCCGGAGCTTGACTAGTCCGTCCAACTTCTGAGCCGGGAAGAAAAGGAAAGGAAAAAAAAATGAGAATGAGTTTCAGGGCAGGGAGGGGTAAAAGTGGAAAAATCAACAAGAACAGATGCATCTAAAAGATCTACCCTGACGATGGCGTTTTCAAGAACATTTCACAAAAGATCATTAAATTCTACAAGCAATTTTAGAATAAGAGGAAAAACAAAACAAAACATTGAACAGTTACTGGTGAGTCCTTGAGGAGAAGGTGCCAGGTTTCTGCTTTGTTACATTTTCAAATACAATACCAAGAGTTAAAAACAACAGAAACCGGCATCTTGCAAAGTGAGAAAAGCCCGAGTGACCGTCAGTCTGCGTGCAGAAAGGGCAGAACAGGGGCAGGCCTGGGTGGGAGCATCGGAACTGGCCCTCGAGGCAGCTCTCCCACTCACAAAGCCGCCCCATCTGCACCCGGGGCAGCCCACAGCCCCACTGCGGCGGCCCCTCCCAGCCCGTGGCCTCTGACCTGCGGGCCTAATCTGCCTTGATGACAACATTTTCCTTTCTTTCTTTCTTTTTTCCATTTTCCTTTCTTCTTACCAGTGGGGATTCTTGGCCTAGAAAATTCGGTTCAGTACAACTTAACAAGAATCTCTACACATGCCCAGCCCTGTGCTAGATTTGGGTGAAAGGAAAAGAATTACTACAGAAATAGAGTCAAAAGTGACAGCTACGCCTCAATAAGTGACTCACAGGGACAGCTCTGGCATGCTCATGGCCTGATTTGCCCCTAGGGGCAAACTCTGAGGCCAGAATTAATGTCCCTGCCTCACAGATAAGGGGATGAAAGCTTGAAAGAAAGAAATTTGTCCCACATCCCAAATCTCGGTTTAGAGGAATGAAGTGATTGGCCCCTAATCCCAAAACTAGCCAGGACTTGAGTCCTGGCAAAGATACACAAAGTATTAACCTTTCTTTAGGGGGAAAAACCCTAAAAGCAAAACAAAGTAAAGCAGGAATGTGCTAGCCTGAGTGAACAGTGCAAGACTACTGTTAGAATGGGTGCTTCAGGTTCAAACATAAAATAGTAATTTGTAAGCACTGCCTTAGAGGGAGGAAGAGGGGTGCCCCCTGGTCTGAGCCCTTGACCACCAGGCCTGGGATTTTCACAGAATTCAGGCCGCCAGCCCCGCCTTGTCTGCCTCTGGCTGTAATAGCCCAGGACCAGGAAGGCTGAGGCCAAAACCCTAACCAGGGTACCTCCAGTTGCCTGCAATGCTGGTCCTGAATGCAGAGGAACAGAAGGCCAGCTATCGTCACCGTCACCATGGTGGAAACACCACCACGATAGCCAGAGGGTGCTCCAGGGCGGCACCTTTAGGTGCACTAACATCTCCATCCTCACTGCACCTCCCAGCCCTGGCCCCACAAGGCCCTGGGCTGGCTCCAGACATCAGAACCTGGCTAGGCCTCAGGATGCCGGCCTCTCAGCTCCCTGCAGGGACTGCCACCAGACACGTGCTCCTGCTCTGGCCCAGAATGACCCCGTGGGCAGCCTGGGCAGGACCCCAGCCTCCAGAGGGCCCCTGCAGCTGCCATGGGCTCCCACAGGGTGGGTGAGACCCCTCCCCAACAGGCAGTGGCAGACACCCAGGCCGCCAACAGAGCCTGTGAGGGGCTGAGGTGTATAGGCAGAGTGGGCGTGCTGGCCACACTCACCTTAGTTGAATGGGAAGCCCATGCAGAAGCTTCAGCCCGACCTCAGAACTCACTCTCTTCCCCATCGTATCTGCAGATACTAAAACAGATTTCAAAATGTGCTTGGATAAAGAATCCAGTATCCTAGTTTAAGCCAGTCAATTTGTGCAAGAAGCTCTTATCTGTTTTTATCAGCGCGGGACAGAAAACAAAGGACTGCCACACTAATTTCATTTTTTTAAGAAAAGTATTTAATGCTAAAAACAATTCACTTTTAACAATTGGTATCACACCTGGGCAAATGCTATCACATCTGGGCCTCTCTCCTAAAGGAGAAAGGAGATTTCTCAAATACTGATAGGAAACACAATTACTTCTAAGCTACTCTTACTTTAAAATGAAAAGCTAGCTAGGAAACTATTGATGAGAGGGAAACTGTACTACTGTTAATGCTAGCAGCTGGGATCATAGGTTACTGGGATTAAGTTTTTGTTTTGCCATTTATTCTAACTCCTGAGCATTTGTTTTTCTAGATTTGAGGGCAAATCTGCAGCATTTATCTCCTAGTCCCTTCCCCTCCCCCACCTCCAGCCCCTAACTGTGGGTTTGAAACATCCCTACTATGAACACAAAGTGAAATGTTTGACTTAGAAACCAAATCCCACAATCTTGACTTCATGCTTTTTTCCCCCAATTCTAAGAAAATATTCTTTTGTGTCCAGGTTTGTAAAAATGATTTAAAACCTCAACTTTTTACATCCAATTATCTGACAGAACCCCTAGCATCTGCAAACAATATGGTCCTGGTTTTACATATGCAAACAAGTCCTGACTCTAAAAGTAAATAAAGGAAGGGTTTCAGAGAAAAAAGCAGAGACTCTGGGGGCATTCCTTTTCAGAAGTACTGAGAAGGAGAACTTGAGGTTTGCGGGGAGGGTGCCAAGAGCTCAGGGAAAACTCATCAGGAAACCATGGCTTTCAAAACAGCAGTAGATGGTCAGACCATAAATTTATTAATGATCTGTTGGAGCACTAGTCTAGAACAATTCACCAGATGTTTGATCACATCCTCAAATGGTTTTGCTCTGATGAAATATAGGTTGATGTACAAAAAAGGGATGCAATGATTCATCTCTGTAAAAGGCTACAAATAAAACCATAAGACATTTCTATCCTTTCACTGAAAATTCCTATGCCGGGGACTATATCCCATGGAAATAAAAACGCAGAAACAAGAAAATACTATTCATGAGAAAGCTGTGGGGCAGACCAGGGGAATGGTCAGTGAAGGATGGGGAAGGCCCTGGATGAACTGTTGATAAGGAAACCCCGTCTGTTACTTGGCACATCAGCCACCTGAGACCCCCACCCCTCACGGAAGACCCGCATCAGCATAATACTAACCTATTACCTGGGCCATCAGCTAACAATCTACTACCTGGCGCATCAGCATAACATTAAATCTATTATCTGACACATCAACTAACCTATTACCTGGTGGGCATTAACCATCTGACACCCTACCCCCCAGACCACTGCAACTTAATAAAAGTGGGAAAAACTGGGGAGACTGGGCTCAGAATTTGGTGGCGAGGCCCCTCTGAGCCCGCTGGCGAATAAACTTTGAGTCTCCGACTCTCCGTGTGCCGCTCGGTTTGTCCTCAGGACCACTTGCTGTAACACTTGCTGTAACATTTTGGTTCCCTGACCGGGAAAACCGACCACTCTGGCTCCTTGAAGCCACCGGTTCCTGGACGGGCACAGTGACCAGCGGGACCTAGCGACAGAAGCGAACCGGCGCCGGCCACCATTTTGCGGAATATCTTCGCTCCTCGGGAGCTCCTGCCGGCCACGGGGCCCCACACTCGCCCGGACACGCCGGAGGGAAGGACAAGTCAAATCAGGTCCGGAGGTCCCGGGACCCGGCCGAGTGAGGCCCGTCAGATGACGGAAGAGGAGCTTGATCCCCTCCTGGGTGCAGGGAGTTCCCAGGGCGGGAACGTGTGACCCCTGCCTGTCTGAATGCGAGAGTGAAGAGTGAGGGGAGAGTGACCGTGGTCCCACGGCTACGGCTACGGCACCTGAGTGTGTCCTCACCTGCGGTTCTGCGGCGGCATCACACAGCATAACGGTGATTCGCTCCCCTAAAGGGAGCCACCAGGCCCGGGGTTTACACGGCACAGCTTCGCTAAGACACGCCTAAGTTCCCGCGAGGGACGCAGCCAGGCGGACACCTGAGAGACACCCCCCCCCTTTGTTAAGCTGCGACACCGTTCAAGGGTCTAGGATGGGTAGCGTAGAATCTAAGCCTACAGTCCTTAAATGCATGTTAAAGAACTTTAAGAAGGTTTCACGGGAGATTCTGGCGTCACACTGAGTCCCAGCAGACTTAGGGCCCTCTGTGAACACCAATGGCCCACATTCAGGTCGACTGGCCCGCACAGGAACCTTACACCTCCCCACCGTGCGAGCAGTTCGGAGAATTGTGACCGGGACTCCCGGCCACCCCGACCAATTCCCTTAATATATTCACGGCTAGAGATTGCTCACACCATGCCCCCTCCGGTCCGGTTCTGTGCTAATAAGGGACAGAGCAGGACTTTTGTGGCCCAAAGGACCAGAGACTCCAAACTGTCCAAACCCATCTATCAGGAAGCT